TTCTTTCCATTTAGCCAATGGCCCAATGGTAGGGTGGTTCAAGCTGGACAAGCACCGGGAAGCTTGCCAGACAATGATCTCATTGAAACACAAGTGATTATAGCTGCATTAAACTCTAGCAGTACCCTTACATACACTCTGGGGTACTACTAGAGTCCTTAAGCCACGGTTCTTGCCAATGTACACCCGATACTCTCCAGAATAAGGAGAGCAGGTTGGGTCCCTCCAGGAAGAGAGGGTGCATTTCATTACAGCACAGATCCTCCATTTTTTATTGCTCAATACTCAATTTTTGATAATCATGCTTTAACACATTTCTTAAATGAATGGAATACAAATTCACTCAGCTAGTTCAGTGAAACTTCCATTCCATTGTGGAGTCCTGTAGCTCAGTGGTTAGAGCACTCGCCTTGCAAGCGAAACACCTGGGTTCAATTCCAGGCAACGCGAAACCTTGGGCAAGTTTCGTTACTCCACATGCCTAATAATAATCCCTCCAAAACAAAACAATAATAAATTGGTTATTTTTAATCTACGACTGTTTGTGGGACACTGCTGTGTGCAATTGGCTGCCGCGTTTCGCCCACAAATATACTTTACAGCATATTCTGTGAAGCGCTTTGAGACGTCTAGAAGACGTGAAAAGCGCTATATCAAATGCAAGGATTATTATTATCAGCCTTCTCCTATATAGTGCTAAGATGTCAAATCATTCACCATGCAATATGGTATATCCAGAAAACTATTTTTAATTAAATTAAGCAGACAATGTTTTGAGCTGTTATTTACTTCTCATATTAAGCATCTCCCTCGAGAAGACATGCAAATTGAACCTTGGATGTTGAATTGTAAGGGAAATTTAAATTAGAGCACTTGATGGTTAGCATTTTTAGAAGGAAGCCCCATAGTGCCAGTGCACGTTCCTTCTTCAAAACTGAGATTCAAACCTATGCAAGAGTTAAATTTAGCAAACCATTCAATTAAATTCCCAATTGAAAGTTTCATTATAATTTATTTTACTACAATGTATTCAAGGATCCTAAGCATCTGCCAAAATTCATTAAATATGAAGCTCAATCTTTTTGCTTCGCAAAATCTGCATATACTTCAATGAAAGCTGCAGTGATTCACGTACAGAACTCATTATGCACGTACAATTCACTTTTTTGTTTTTAACAATTCCAAACGCCTTACTGATAACCTTAATATATAGTTACCTCTAAATAAACTTGGCATCTCTTCAATCTGCAATTTGATTCATATACAAATTCTAGTTTTATGAATTTAGTACCAAACACTTAGGATGAAAACATATAATCCGAGTGTGCAACAAAGTCAGGCACCTTCTGAGACGTAATGCAACAGTAATAAGTTTCTATTGAAGAATTAGACTGCATAAATTAAGACACGAAAGGAAAAGCAAAGAACACAAATCATGATGATTAAATGATCTTTTGTTCAAAGCCAAATTTCTATACGCCGAGAAACAAGTTGATGGATTTTATACAAATAAAAACTTATACATTTAGGACTTTTATGCCATTCAATGTAAAATTGTTTGAACGTTCATCTTTCCTCAACAGAAGGAAATTTACTTAATAATTAAAAAACATGCTGGATTTTTTGTAGTCAGGTTTTACTGAAAGAAAAACAACACTTCTGTACATGGTCAGGTTGGAGTAGAAACATCGCAAACAACAGAACAATAGAATCACAACTTGTAAATAAATGGTCATTTGAATATTACCTTTTAGGGCTCCCAATATTTTATTTCAAAACTAGAAATCATTAAGTTTAGTCATTCATGGATTTATGTCAATTAGAAATTGTACCTATATATTTACAATAATATTCCCCTTTTTACTGCATGTAATTTGTTGACCCTCTTCATTAATCTCCCTATCTCCATCATCTGCAAGCTCCTTACAAAACTCTACTTTGTATGTCAAACATCTCTGTCCTCACTAGGCTTTGCCAACCACTCGGATAGGTTTCAAGATCCTCACCAATAAATCTTCACCCTTGCCCATCCCTTCCTCCATGATCTTCACTCTTTTGCTTGCCTCTATAGTCGGCAAACATAGGCATGTTGCATGTCACCCACATCTTCTTTGCCCCCTCTCTCTGGAAATTCCTTCCCCCTCTAGACCTACTTTCTGGCCCCTCTCTATCTTCAAAAGCAGTCTAAAAACCTACCTCCCTGACCTTGCCTATGGTCACCTACAGCCTCCATACAGGATCCAGTAGCATCTCTGTAAAGCTCCAAGATGTTTCTTTACATGAAGGGTACTATGTAAATGCATGCTGTTGAATTAAGACAAAAATGCAGCAAATTCCTGATATATTGTCACTCCCAACGGAAAAGAGCTCAGTGATATGATTTATCTGGAGTGACTATATAGGTATGAAGCCCCCAGGGCCACTAGCGAGTGCTGTGGTTGGGAAGACCTACACCACCAAACTTTGGAAGAGCAATAGGTAATACAATGGAATATAAAGGGAAGAGCAGGGAATTGGGATTAGAAGTGTTATTTCCAGTGGCCAAGGCATGCTGGGACCTGTAGTCTTTACAGCCTGCGCTCCTGACCCATCCCCACGGGAGAATGAGTGACTGCAATTCCCAGCAGATCTGGGACCTTGTATTCGATTTGTTAGGGATTGGGGAATCCAGTCGTGCAGAGCAAAAATGGGGGTGATACGCCATAGATCCAACCCCGCAGACCTAAGTTTGCAGGCTCCAAAGTTCTGAATGGTCTGCAATCTGCGTAGGGAAGAGCTGGGCAGTCCAGTGAGCAGGACTCTGAAATAATCATCCAGAACACGATGACACGCCGTGGCGGCAACTCAATGACCCATACATACGTCAGCTTTTTTTTTTAAAAAGCGCGAAAAGCTAAAATAGTTCACTACTAGATCATCGAACAATGTATGCAGCTTGACATTTCATTTCAGTGGGAAAAACAAACTGAGCGCTGGAAGCTGCATTTGTAGAACAAGTATAGCTGGGTTATCACATGGTGACAAAGGAATTTCTTGCAATAATGCCTATCGAGTAAAAGGGCAATGTCTGCCTTTTCTCCCACCCAGGACACAAATTAATTGTTGTAAATCATAGAAGATGTTTATAGTGTGCAACATTTATTCAGCTATTGCACTCAGGAAGGTTAGGTAATTGCCGTAAAATATATTCATTTACTCTTGATCAATGCTCAAGACTAAACAAGGTCATCAACCACAGGGAAAGCAAGATAGAAAAGAGCAGAATTTTAAAAATATTTTACGAAACCACAAGATTTATGAAAAAGTGTCTTGTACAATTGCTAAATGCAAAAAATGCTAAACCAAGCTATAGAAAAAAGAGGGAAAAAATACACAATTTAAAATTAGTCTCAAATTAATCAATATAAAGTATTCACGGTGAAAACAATATGCTTCGCTTTCAAAGCCAGGACTAAAATGCTTACAAATTGAAATTAAAGCACATGTGCAAGAATTATTCATTCAATTTTGCCAAGTACATTCACACAATTGTTTCACACAACTGTTTGCACGTGATCCATGAGAATATTTAAGTTTCTTAAATAAAGATATCATTGAGAGCAATGGAGAACTATTGTACCAAATAATATCCAACAAACTGGAATTGGCATTATGCAGCTAGACTAGTTTGTTCCAAACCATTTAGATGAGACATTTGGAACACTGCTCCACCATCAATCACATTTAATGAACTACTCCAGGGATTAAATAGAGGTAGTAGCCCTACTGATCTCAAATTGCAGAAAAGATGAAACCATAATATCAGCCTAAAAGCTAAACGATTCTATATTATTTTGCCATCTCTCCAGTTGGGTTGCTTGTCTACCTTTGATATAGAATGATAGAAAAAAATAAGATGCTTTATGCTCATAGAAGATTCGACTGGTGAAACATATGCCACCAAATTCAGGAATTACATAACACATTCACTATTCATACATGTCTGCCAACCCACATGTACAGAACTGCAAACATTACAGTTCTTTTTTTAAAAAAAGTGTCATTAACAATATTGTGGTTTGTGGTTTTCACAATGATACGGATACCAAGTACTGTGCATTTTTAAAATACAACAAAGACATATTTAGGTTTGTGATTCAAAAACATCCCAAAAGGATTGGATGAAGAGGACTCTTTGGCCCAATTAATCTCATTCCTTCTAGAATCTCAACCCTGCCATCTTCTTATTACAGTATCTAGCAGATTCTTAAATGATTCCAAGCCTCAACCACCCTTCCTGGTAATTCATTCCAAGTATTAAGTATCTTGTACGTAAAATTCATTGCAGTTGGAATGGAATATTATGCAAAGTACAAAGGGTTGATCACCTGCATCCAGGAATAACTATTTAAAACAGTATTGATTGGAGAGTATTACATCCTGTAGATAACAATATTGGATCCATGGGGATGATGGAGGAATTAAAGATTTTTCCCCTGAAAATCAAAGCCACATGCATGGAGAAGACAGCAGTTACAGGTTGGCCAATCAACTATTCATGCTGTATAAAAAGTGCACAATGCAATAGAGGTACACAATTCTATTGTTACTGCTATTAGTAAAGGCCATTAAAACATTAGTTTACATCATATACCCACATAAACCGATAAAAGAATTCCAGATATCACTCCTAGCCCAATCATGTGGTAGATATGAGACTACATTGTATGGCACAAAAACAGTATACGGAAAGAGACAAGTAAGTTAGATTTCGACATATATCAGAATAGCATCTGGCATTGGTGACAAAACAACCAATGTTCTTCGTACCTGTTAAAATGCTATTCACTATTATTTGATGCTAAAAAATGTAAAAACTTAAAAAAAAATTCAAATAATTTGGAAAGAACATCATTAAAAAAGTAAAACAAATTTTTGAGCATAAACTTCCTAAAATTCTACGATACTCAGAAATGAATTATTTTTACCACTAGCCCTAATCCACAAATTTCACTACTTACATTGTCAATGTAGTTGGGCTTATACCCTTCTTGCCGTCTTCTCATTTCATCCTGCTGCTCTCTTTGACGCATCATTTCTTCCTCCCGTCGCCTACGTTCTTCTTCATGCCTGTAAGCATTCATCAGTAAAACATTACAAGGCATGCTTCATTACAATTATGATACTTGAAAGAAATTACAACTTACTCAAAGCCTTTGGTTTCCTTTCAATAAAACTATTTGTTTTTTGGTGAGATTGGCAGAACTTTGTGCATAGAAGTTGATCAATGATCAATCTGGTCTATAATATACTCCTTATAATGAGACTGATCTGTTGTTATTCCTCAAGAGGAAACACTGAGAGGAAAGGAAATCTAAATTTCCAACTTTTCATTTAATAATCTTTAAATGGCTCCAGAAAGAGCACAACTACAGAAAATCTGCCATTTGGTTTGGATCTTATTTTCTCTTACCTCATTTCAATTTGCTTTCGTTTCTGCAGTTCCTGATTTCTCATTTCTTCTAGGCGTCTAAGCTCCTCTTGTCGTCTCATCAAATCTGCATAAATAATATTTAACTTCCAAGGTTCAAATGAGGTCAACCATTTGCAGAGATAACGTCTTAAATAATCATGTTCACGTTAGTACAGCAGAACAAACAAATTTGTTAAAACATTGAGAATCCATTGCCGGGTGGGTCGGTAACCTGAGGACACCGATATAAAATAGTTGTTAAAAGAAACAGAGGGGGGGTGAGGAAAAATGTTTTCACACAGTGAGTTGTCCGGATCTGGAATGCATTGCCTGAAACCGATTCTTTTCAGAGAGAAAGTAGATACTTATTTGGGGAGGACAAGTTTGCAGGGCTATGGGGAGAGCACAGGGGAGTAGGATTGATTCGGATAGCTCTTTTAAAAGAGCTGGCACAGACACGATGGGCCAAATGGCCTCCTTCTGTGCTGTTTAAATTCTATGATTCTATGAACATAACAGCACAAAACTGTAACAACCTGAGAAGCTTAATATACATTTTCTGCTCATACCAGACAAACAAAAAGCCCTGCACTGATACCAATCTATATAACAAACATTTTTTAAGAATTGGCATTTATGCAAGATCTGGTACAAAAATCTAAAACTAAACTCTTAAAACATACAAAAATTAAACCACAGAGTGAACTGTTAACTTTCTTCAAGAATTTCATTTTTTATGGATTTGTGCGAAATGTAGAGGCAGTGGGGGAAATCAATTCACCACAATTTGCTTATACAGTCACAAAGGTTATTTCTTAAATGGAACAAATTCCTTTAGCTTTCACTTTTAGTCTGTTGAAAGCATGATTCTAATTGCGTTAGATATTACAAAACTGTTCTGGTCGTGCAAAATACATCACTGTTATATACATGCAGAACCAGACATTTAATCTTCAGACTACTGGTAGGTCTTCAGAAACATTTTGGCCTGACCTGGTTTGTACATTTTCAGCTAATAACAAAATATTACTGAAAAGTCAGAAATAATTTAGTGAATATTAAACCTGAACTTGTGAAAAAATATATACTTGTGTTCATCCTATTATGTTTTTGCTTTTCCTTTCTTCCATTCAATAATGTTTTAGTCTTTTTCTTGTCTAATTGTTTTAACTTTAAAAATCACTATACTACGTTTTATCATAGAATATTAGCTGAATATTACAGCCAACAAAAAGACATGTCAATTAAGTATGAGCATCATACATGCAATCTGGTCACTCTGAGGTGAACATCATATAAGGCAGGAAATGGGAACCATAATAGAATAAACCTATTGCTGCAAAACCCAAGTAGACTCTTCTACAGCACTAACACTTAAGAACTTCATACGATATCCTTCAAAAATACATTGGAAATTCAAAGAAATCCATGCTTTTAACTTAAGAACTGCAGTTTATTATAAATGTCTCTAGTTTCAATGCCAGGCATATAAATCTGACAGAGAAAACAAAACAATTCATAGGTTACCTTGTCTCATAAGCATTAGCTGATGTTCATGACGAGCTGCTTCCATTTCTGCTTCCAGCTTTTCCTTTGCCTCTCTGATGTTTCTGTCAACTTGGTCACGCTGCTGCTTCTCCATTTCATCAAGGGCCTTCCATCGTGATGCATACTCAAACTCAAATGTACCAGGTTGAGCAAAACGCGGTGGCTGCTCTCTTTCCCTAGATCAATCCCATTGATACATTCATTAGGAATAAACCAAATCCATTCATAAACCACAACTAATCTTTTTGCATTAAACACAAGCATCTGAGGATAATTAGCAACTTTGATGTTATATATTGGGTTCAGGTAAAAATTATTACCAGTGGTACTGAAACATTTCTCCGCAATAGAATGCGAGGGAGAGAAAGGAGTGAATATACAGGGTTAGTAGCTGCTTTCCAAAGATTTATAAGGTAAAGGTTGATTGACCTTATATTCAAGAAATTAAATCGGAATCTAGTAGGGTTGATTTGAAGCATCTTGACCAGGGATTACAATGTATGGGGTAAGAAACAATTACTGGATTCTGTTTAAGGCCACCAAGGTATAGATTCAGAAATGTATCAAGTTAGAAAAGAATGCAATATATAAAACGAAAACATTCAGTTAAGATTACAATCCACCAGAGATAAATTGGGAAGACTTTACCAGGAAAAGCAAGGGGAATTTATTTCTGGATATAATGCAGTATTGCTTCCTGGTTGAATTGTACAGATGAAGACTACATGCACTCTACAAAATTTTAAAGTTAATTTTGGGTCATGATAAGGAAACATTTAAATAGTGATCAATGACAGAGGATTGACTTTGGGGGGGGAGGGAGAATGGACTGCTTTATATAGTGTTTAAGAGAGGTGGCTATTGAAACCAGTATTTTCCAGCAAGCTATTATTAAACATTGTAAGAAGTTTGATGTCCAACGATTGAGACAGGGTAAACGTAAAGCAAATTCATATGAAAAGTGAAACAGAAACTAAAGGCCATCAAGTCTGACATCTGTAGCAGATAATACATTAGGAATACTGAAGTTATGCAGAACAATGAGAGCAAGTCAACTTTACTTCTAGGGCTGAAGTCATGGCTGACAAATCTATTAAGCGATTTATGAGGAAATGACAAAATTAGTGGATAGTGTATATCCGGATTTCAGCAAGACAGGTGGCAAAGAGCCCTGGAAGCAATCACAATGTTGAAAGACAGAATTTGAAGCGAAAGAGGAACTTATGAAATAAACAGAAATAAAAAAATTACCCAGTTCAAAAAGAAACTGAAAAGTAGAAATAGAATTAAAAAAGTGGGAACAGCATATGTTTTTAATGGCAAAGGGAATGGGCGAGGTGAAATTTAATAGAAAGGAAAATGGTAACTAAAAGTGAGACCAGCCAGCAAGACTACAGTGGTACAGTGCAGGATAAATGTCACCAAGAAGAGTTTGCGTTTTGTGTGCGTGTGGGTGGGGGGAGAAGAGAAGAATCACGGAATTTTACGGCACAGGAGAAGGCCATTGGGCTCTTAAGAGAGAGAACATAAATTAGGATAGTAACTGATAAAACTTGGAATTCACGCCTCCCCCACCCCACTTGTGAGTTTCAAATAATTACTGTAGCTTACTTAGACCAAATGGAAATAATACAATTCAAAATTACATTTGTTTGGCGCCTTTCATGTTGGGAGGACATCCCAAGGGGCTGGACAGTCAGGGATTTGGACCTGAACGGATGGATTGGGATCAGGGTGGGCAGGAGGGTGGCTGAAGGCATAATTGAAGAGGAGGGTCTTGAGACGTGCGAAGATGGAAAGGGAGGGAGCAAAGCGAAGGGAATGTGAGATGGAGTTCCAAAGGGTAGAGGCAAAGAGTCTGAAGGCCGGGCAGGCGGACATGGAGTAAGCTTCAGTCTGCTGAGCAAAGGGATCGGACAAGTTGATATGGGGCTAGCAGGTCACATAGGTAGGAAGGAGCAAGGTCATGGAGGCCTTGAAGTTGAGGATGAGAATTTTGAACTCTATTCTCTGTATGTAGAAAAATCCATTAAAATTGCAATTGAGAAGTTACTTGCAAACTGAGTGCTTGTTGCAGTTTTTCTATACGCTTGATTTTTCTGATTGACAAAGAATTTTGAGGAACTGAACATTTTTGATTTATTGAGCAGAGACCAACTATTCTTGTTGTGTAAGCGCAATACACTAAATCCCTCTAACACCAATAACCATTGGCTCAGATGGAGAAAAAAAAACCTCAGGGCAAGGAATAGATTGTAGATCTAGGCAGAAAAGGGGAAAAACATAGTTCAAACACTCACTTGTGATATTGAGTATTCTTCTGTAACAATTTCTCAGGAAGTCCATCTTCATCATCAAACTGTTCCATGGGCTCGACAATAACGGGATGTGGAGAGCTGGAATGCAAGTTTATAAAATCACATTTTTTCATAATTATCCAAACCCACAACCCCAAGTGACTTCCTCTGTGAACCGGTGCAAACTTATTGGGCCAAATGGCCTCCTCCTGCGCTTGTGCTGTATGTTGTTTCTCTATGTTGCTATGAGCATGAGCAGAATGATCAAGACTTCGAATGCCACGCAGTTAAAAATGGCTCTAATCAGCTCCACAAGAGCCATCTATATCTTCAACAGGAACATTTACACAATACATCAGAAACATAATCAACCAATATCAGAATCTTAATAGTCCTCAATTCCTTTAGTTTTTTGTGATTGTTATATGAACATTGGAAAATAGTAATGTAGGCCATTTAGTCCCTTAAGACTTTCTACCATTCTGCTAGATCATTGCTGATCTGTAGCTCAACTCCATGTACCAACCTTTGCTCCATATCGTTTCATATCCTTACCTAACAGATATCCATAAACTTCAGTCTTTAAAATTTGAATTGATCCAGCATCCACAGCCTTTTGGGGGAGAGATCTAGATTTCCATTACTCTTTGTGTGAAAAAATATTTCCTGATTTCTTTCCTAAATGGCCTAGCTCTAATTTTAAGATTATGCCCCCTTGTTCTAGATTCCCCTTCCAGAGGAAATAATTTCTCTGTACCTACTCTATCAAGCCCATTTTAACAACAACAACAAGATTTCATTTATAGAGCGCCTTTCACATCGGGAGGATGTCCCAAGGCGCTGGACAGTTGGGTCGGGATCCGAGCAGGGAGGAAATGGTCAGGGGGAGGGAAGGGAGGGAGCGAGGAGGGAGTAGAGAGTCTAGAGGGGAGCACAAGGCACGGTCGAAGAGAAAACACCTCAAATAGATTACCACTCAACCTTCTAAACTCAAGGAAATACAAGCCAAGTTTAACAACTTACATTTGTGTAACGCCTTTCAGTTCAGGAGTTTCCAAGGCACTGGAAAGTCAGGGATTTGGATCCAAATCCAAGCAACTTTTCCTCATAGGTTAACCCTTTATACACTGGTATAATTCTGGTGAATCTGCCCATGACTCCATTCTGGGCCAGTTTATCTTTCTTGAGGTGTGGTGCCCAAAACTGAACGGAGTACTCCGGTGGGGTCTGACGAAGGCTCTATACAGTTGAAGCGTCATTTCCTCACCTTTGTATTCCAGCCCCTGAGACGAAGGCCAACATTCCATTAGCCCTTTTGATTACTTTTTGTATCCTTGAACACCCAAATCCTTTTGCTCCTCCACAGTTCCTAATTTCTCACCCTTAAGAAAATATTCCAATTTGTCTTTCTCGGATCCATATTGGATGACTTTACTCTGCCCAACATTAAACTTAATCAGTCGACGTACATTTGTAATTTTCTGCTCACATCTACACAATTTACTGTACCTCCTAACTTCATGTCATCTGCAAATTTGGACATACAACTCTCTATTCCTTCATCCAAGTCATTTATATATATATACATATATGATGAAAAGCTGAGGCTCTTGTACAGATCCCCCTGGGGAACACAACTTATCACATCCGGCCAATCAGAAAATGTTCCTTTTATCCCTACTCTGTTTCCTGTCTTCCAGCCAGTTACCAAGCCATGGCACAAGGTTATCTCCGATTCCATCCGCTTTCATTTTTGCAAATAACTTCTTGTGCGTAACCTTTTAATCAGATGTCTTCTGAAAGTCCATATAGACGACATCCATATACACTCTCTTATCTACCATGTTAGTGACCTCCTCAAAATGTTTGTCAGATATGATCTACCAGTCACAAATCCTTGCTGACTCTCTTTGACCAGCTCATGTGAGCTCCAGAACAATTCTGATATTAGTTGATGCTTTGACATCATACACTCTCGGCAGTCCCATCAGGGTCCGCGAACAAAAATTAAAGTTAAAAAAGATACCATGGTTTGAAAAAAAAAGGAAAGACTTACGAGGTTAGTAAAAATGCTCCATCTGAGCACCTTTCTAGTGCCTTGCGAGCAGCAGGCTTTGCTGCAAATTCCACGTAACCTTTTCCTGTGGGTTTCCCACGGTCATCAACTATAACTATTGCTCTCTCAACTGGACCAAATTGAGAAAAAGCTTGTTCTAGTAGTTCGTTGGAAACTACTGGAGAAAGGTTCCTCACAGTCAAAGCAGCTCCATGAGTAGCAAAACGAATGCGCAGTGGTCGATTCCTCATCATTGTGCCATCAAGTTCAGCTTTTGCTATTTCAGCCAGTGTTCTTGTTTCCTATAAGAGAAATATAGTTTCAATATTTATATCAAATTCTTGTTTGTAATATTAAATGTTATGATCTTAATATTTTTCAACTACATTAATTCAGTTAAGGCAGTCACAAATTTGTTACAATTCACCTTAATCTACTTCCCCAGTTATAACCAGTGCAAATAGAAATTTGCGGAAATGTTTGCCTAAAATTGCAGGCGAAATTTTGTGCATTTTGCAGGAAGTTAGTGCTATTGAGACGTACATTTTACTGCCAATCTACATTCTTTCACTTTATTGATCAAAACTAAACATGAAGAAATAACACAGAGTATTAGATGCAATAAAAAGTACTTTCTTTAACATTTCTTTAATGGGGGTGCGGGTAATTAGTCCTGACCGAGGGGCTCCGGGAGGTCACTACCTCCTGTTTCTCAGGGTCTGGCACGGCACACAGACTCAGAGACACACCCACTCACAGACACAGAAACTCAAGACACATAGAGACACACTCATGACCTATGCCAATAGAAAAATGTGGATGCAACTTCTACGCTACAACGACCCCCGTCCACTACAAACTCGCCACTAATGTAGTTTCTGGTCCGTGGGCTGCTCGCGCTATCTACCCATCGACACTGTGGGCATGCGGCAAATGGATTACACTCGGAGGCCCCGCTGTTGTGATTGTCTGTGTGTCTCTATGTGAGTTTGTCTATGTCTCTTCTATATGTGTGTGTTCATAAGTGGCTCTTTGTCTATCTCTTTGTGTCTAATAATAATCCTTGCATTTAACATAATGCTTTTCACATCTTCTAGACGTCTCAAGGCGCTTCACAGAATATACTGTGAAGTGAATTGACTATAATTGTGAGTGAAACGCGGCAGCCAATTGTGCACAACAGTGTCCAACAAACAATCATGAGAGACCAAATTCTTATTTTATTTTTTTTCTTGAGGGATTATGAGCAGGCGTGTGGAGTAAGGAAACTTGCCCAAGGTTTCGCCCTGCCGGGAATCAAACCTAGGTTTCTCACTTGCGAGGCGAGCGCTCTAACCACTGAGCTACAGGACTCTACAAGAAGTCTGTTGTGAGTGCGTTTCTCTGAAAATGCGTTTCTCTTGTGTCTATGAGCGTGTCTCTCTTTGTGTCTGAGTGTGTGTGTTTGTCTCTCTCTGTGTCTGTGAGTGTGTATATCTCTTTCTGCCTGTGAATGTGTGTGTCTCTCTCACTGTGTCTGTGAGTGTGAGTGTGTATGTGTCTCTGCGTGAGTCTAGGAGTGTCTCTTCTGTGTCTCTCTCTCTGTGCGGTGCCTGCCTGAGAGGCAGGAAGTGGTGAGCTCCTGTAACCTCGCTAGTATCCCGCAACCCCCCAAAAATGGCCACATTTTTTGTTAACAAAGCAATTAATGTATTTTTTTGCAACAATCTAATGTGTTATTTCCCTAGTTTAGATTTTTATCAATAAAGTGAAAACATGTAGCAGTAAAATGTACCCCAAAAGCACCAACTAACCCCTGCAATTTCCCCTGCAAAATTTGGTAAAGCGCTTCGCAATATTTTTGCAAACATGGCTGCACTTTACTAATGGACCAGCTCATGACACAGAAAGACACACACTCAGACAATCACAACAGCAGGGCCTCGGAGTGGCCCGAAGCCCATTTCCCGCTCACGTTGCACCGCGCATGTGCGTCCAGTCTCTCCACCCATGTTAGCGGAGTTGAGTAAACAGTGCAGCAGCGCGCGGAGTCCCAGGACCCCGAGCACACTGTGTTTATACAGGTTTGTAGTGGAGGAGTTGTTTGTAGCGGAGGAAGGGGTTTGTAGCAGAGGGAATCTTTGTAGTGAAGGGGTTGTTTGTAGCAGAGGAAGGTGCTTGTGGTAGAGGGGGTGTTTGTAGTGAAGGGGTTGTTTGTAGCAGAGGAAGGTGCTTTTGGTAGAGGGGGTCTTTGTAGCAGATTCTGCAGTAAAAGTGCAGCCACACTTTTCTATTGGCCCAGGGTATAACTATTTCAGTCTGCATTCTGATCAAAGTTTCATCCCATTACTGCTATACCGAAGCTCAGTATTCATGGGATACAGGAAATGTTTAAAAGTTACAGAAAACTGCGAAAAAGAATAAATTGTTGCAGAATTAGGTTATTACACTGGGTTTATAATTGCAACCTGTGGATACATGGGATGATTGAAGATCCACAAACCAAAGGATTATAACAACAACAACAAAATAATATTTGTTTAGCGCCTTTCACTTCAGGAGGACGTCCCAAGGTACTGGATAGTCAAGTGTTTTGGACCCGAGCTGGGGGAGGGGGGGGGGGTCGGGATTGGGGAGAGCGAGGGAAGCAGGGTGATCGAAAGCACGGTCGAAGAGGAGAGTATTGAGATGGGTCCTGAAGGAGGCAAGATATATTTGAGCTGCAGGCCATCTTGGATAGTACTGTAGTTGTTAAAATGATCAGATGATGAAAATGCACCACTCAACGATATGGTAAACATATCTTCATATGCTTAAAATGCATTAGTAATTAAGCTCGCCGATACACCGAAGGGCACTATATAAATGAAAGTTGTCGTAATTTTTAGTTTTTATCTTTTTGAAACTTGACACTGTTAAAAATACAACACTATTTAAAAAGAGATGGTAATATTGTTGCTGACAAAATTCCTTCAAATTAATTGATTTTTCGCTTCATTGGTGTTTGTGGGACACTGCTGGCACAATTTAGCTATAGTTACTTCTCTGGATAGTAATTAACTGTTAAGCACTTTGACAGGTTTGAATATAATGAGGCACTATAAAAATGTAAGATTTTTTTAAAAAAAGGAAACGAAGGAAGGAAGGAAGGAAGGAAGGAAGGAAGGAAGGAAGGAAGGAAGGAAGGAAGGAAGGAAATTAAGTCAAATTGACATGAAGAAATTAAACGGCAAACCAATCTCAAATTGGCCAAACAGCCAACTTCTGTTCCCAATGCATTAATTCCGAGGGGAATACCTTAAAAAAAACTGGACTACTATTATTAAAGGAATGTTTGTAACCATATTCAACAGTTGGTGCTCCCAAATGCAGGCCATACATTTTAGGTACTCCAATGCATATTAAGGTGTCTTCAAGTCTCAGCTCTCATCAACCTACTCTTTCTGAAATCAGGTTAGCAGGTACATCACTCCAGGAGAGAATGCAAACTCTATTCCAGCCACAGGGATATTTACCTAGCACTGATGGTGTGGGCATGGAAAACGTTCAGTCTGACTTGTATACTTTTAAGCGTGACAATAGCTTTCCACATGTCAGCTAGCCCATTGATCAAAACAAAATTAACCTTGTGGACAGAAAGGCAATCTCCACTTGCTGCTAATTCTAAAATGAGTTAATTTGTCTCATAATATATCTCTTTTAAATAAAACTTGTCTAACAAAATAAATAATTTCAGACAGCTTTTAATAAAGTGACAAAAGAACTAAAATTAAGGTAAGTGGAATTGAATGCAACATTTGTGTCATGGATAGAAAATTAGTAAGGAGATAAGAAGCAGAATTGATATAACAGAGACATTGTCTGATTTGCAGGCAATATCAAGTGGTACTGGTGCTCCATCGTTTCACCCTATAAGTCAATAATTTGGATCCAAAAATACAGCGGACTATTTCCAAGTTTGGGAATAACTCTAAGCTAGTAAGTGTTGCAAACTATGAATGGCCACCTTTTGTGCTGTAAATTTCTACAATCTGGGACAGGCAAAAGACATACTGATTAACTGAGTGGGCAGAAACATGCCAGATGCTGGAGTTTAACACTGCATCGCGTGAGGTAATAATATTATTAATCCTTGCATTTGATATACTGCCTTAACACGCCTGTGAGACGTCTCAAACGCTTCACAGAATATACTGAAAAGTGAATTGACTGTATATTTTTTGGGCATAACATGGCAGCCAATTGCACACAGCAGTGTCCCACAAACAGTTGTGGAATGAGTGGCCAAATTATCATTTTTTTTAATAAAGGGATTATTACCCATGGAAAAGCAATCTACTAATCGACTAATAACCGGGTTCCTACTTACTGCTAGGTAAGTGTTTCATCCTGCCTGGGAATCAAACCCAGGTCTCTCGCTTGCGAGGTGAGTGCTCTAACCACAACCCTAGAGGACTCAACATATTGCGGCAAATTAATAATGTCCACCTGAACAAGGGGAGGGGAGGGACGGCAGGATAAATTAGGAAGGATAAATTAGCCTTGGGAGGATATCCAGCAATGCTCGATAAACTGATACCTGGGCTGAAAGAGCTAAACGACAATGAGAGGCGTGGTAGAATAGGATTAGATTCCTTGAAGCATATGTGGTTAAGGAGTGATACGATCCAGATATTTAAATTAATGAAAGGAATTGACGGGTTGAATACAGTAGTAGCCGATTCTTTCTCTTGGTTAAAGGATCCATTACAAGAGGTCATAGCATTGAAATCAGAGCCAAGACAGTTACAACTGAAGTTAGAAAGCATTTTCATCACGCAGAGATTTGTGAAAATATCTGGCAAGCATAGCACCAGCATAACAACTCACATTTATATAGGGCTCTGTCCTAGAAAGCTGCAGTGAGAATAAGGATGTTTAAAAGAGAGACAGACAGACACTTGAGTAGTAGATGTATAGCAAAAGGGCATTGGGTTTAAAAGATCTGCCAAGATTTATTAACTGATGGAACATGCTCAATAGTCTGAATGTTCATTGCCCTATTCTCGTTTTCCTATATTCCTATGAAAGCTATGGTTTCTGAAGCGTTGCACCCATGTCAGGAATACTGCAATAGAGAAACTAAAAGTTGGGAATGCATTCAATTGATTGATACTACTGGATGTACATTTATATAGAATGAGACATTGAATTGAAGTTCCACCTGCCTCTTTCTGACACTTCAGGTGGATGTTAAAGATTCCGTGGCATACGATTTTGAAGAGGAACTTGGTGCAGGAGAGGACAAAGGCGAGCGAGTTCTGAATAGTCTGCAGTCTGTGTGGAGAAAAGCTGGGGAGTCTGGCAAACAGCATCAGCATAATAACAACTCACATTTATAGTGTTCTGCACACCGGACAGCGTCTGAGTGCTTAATAGTGGTGAAACCGATGCCGAGCTAGGGGAAGGGTGACCGTAGGAACGCTCAAAGAGGAAGGTCAAGTGTGCCCTGAAAATGGTAAGAGGGCGTAAGGCGAAGGAATTGAGGGAGAGAATTCCACAGCTTTGGGACGTAGTGGCTGAAAGCACAGCCGCTGATGGTGGGGTGGAGGGTCTGGGGGACAAGGAGAAAGCCACAGCCAGTCAAGCAGAGGCACCGGGTAGTAGTGGAGGGAGAGAGCAGGTTGGAGAGATAATGGGGTGCTAGGGCGTGAAAGGATTTAAATACAAGAGTGAGGATCTTAAAATCGATCGGCTCTATGACAGGGAGCCAATGGAGTATGACAAGGACTGGGGTAATGGAGATACGGAATTTAGTGCGGGTGAGAATGCAAGATTTAAATGAGTTGAATTTTGTGAATTATGGAGCGGGGAGACCAGCAAAGAGGGCATTTCACTAGTCTAGGCGGGAGGTGACAAAGGCGCAGACGAAGGTATCGGTAGATGTTTGAGTGAGGTATGGACGGAGTTGGGTAATGTAGCGGAAAGCAGTCCTGGCCGGGGACCGGATGTCAAGCACAAAGGATAGCTGGGGATTGAACCCGACACATAAGTTGTCCATGGAATGGATGAGTCTTGGGGAGAGATCGGGAAGGGCACGGAGGTCTGAACCGCAGGAGAAAAGACGTTGACGGGAGCCAAAGAGCATGGCTTCTGTCTTGTCAACGTTCAGCTGCAAGAAGTTTGCACTAATCCAGAACTCAATGTCTGTCATACAAGCTGACAGAACATCAGTGGACTAGGAGTTGCAGCTGGAGGAAGAGTAGATTTATGTATCATCTGCATACAAGTGGAAACTTGTCTGTGGATGACATCGCCAAGAGGGAGCATGTAAATGAGGAAGAAGGGAGCCAAGGATGGAGCCTTGGGGTATCCCACAGGTGACCAGGCGCGGGCGAGAGTAAAAACTGTTGGTTGACATAAGATGCTGGTAGTTGGTTAAGTAGGACTCGAACCATGCTTGTGTGGTCTCACTAAGGTAGATGGGGGAAGAACAACAACATGCATTTATATAGTGCTCTTTATGCGGGGTCACATCCGGGAGCACTTAAAGAATAGGCGGGGAAGGAGGATGGCATGGTCGACTTCATCTCAGCATTGGCATTGGGTCGACTTCATCTCAGCACTGGCATAGTCAAGCTTGGGCAGAATGAAGCATGGATGAGGGTTTCAGCGGGCTGGGAGAAGAGGGAATGGCAGAATCAGGAAACGCTACGGAGGGAGTGAACACTGAGCAAATCAGAGCAAGACAGGGTTTGAAGAATTGTTGGGAGTCAAACAAGACTGTTGAAAATTCTACACTGACTCAATATGGTGGAATGTGCAACCAGGCAGTACCTTACGTGAATAGGCACTAATGGGAGCTGAGCAAGATAGCCTCAGTCTTGCCTATGTTTAACTGAAGTTAGTGCTTGATGTGCGACAGGCAACCAATAAAACAAATAGGCTGAAGAATTAAATCCTCACATAAAGGTCACAGCTGAAGAGTATATGCTCATGGCTCAACAACTTAAGAGCCAAAAGGCAAATTTAAATAGAAAGATGCTAATTGGAAAGCCTTTGCAAATTGGAGAAGAGAACCTTCTTCCTCTTGTGGTGCAACTCACTCTCTCCACTCCATCAACATTAGCCTGATTTACAATTCCCTACCCTCTCATTATCAGGGGATACGCTTTCAGCCATGTTAAACCCACTCTGGAAGTGTTCCAAAATCCCTCTGCTTTGCTCCTTCCCCGTTTTCAAAACTCCATCTTAAAAACCTCTTTGACCACACTATCAATTACCCTTTCCCAGCACCATCTCCCACTCTTTCTCTGTACAGTGCTTTGAGACATTCTGTTGTGAAATGAGTTATACAAAAGATTAAGAACTTAAATTTCCTCTATTAATTTCCAAAATAATTAACCCCAATTGACTGACTTCGCCTTTAGCTACCTCTTGAAGTAGAAATATATGTACTTTCTTCACCTCATCTTCTAAAGTCAATTGCTGTACAACTGCTCAGTTCCATAGATCCTGCCATTTGCTTGTGAGCGCGGCAAACTGTCCAACGGGGGGAGGGGGGAGAAGAGAAGGAAAAAGGGCAAAGGCTGGTAATAGAGTTCCCGATCTATCCATGTTCAACTAACCCCACACAGAACCAAAGAATTTAAACATGAACTTTATTGGTTGGTGTGGGTTATTCATTCACCCATTGATGGAGATCTTTAAAATTGTGAGCTTTGACAGAGTCGAGAAATTGTTTCCACTGGCCAATGACAAGGATGCAATTACCAAAAGAGCAAAGGGAGATAGGATTTTTTCCCCCCCACAGAGTATTGTTAGGATGTGGAACACCCTCCCAGTAGTTGTGATCCAGGCAGCATTCATATTCTGAAGGTTGTGTGGGGGGACTGATAATAATAATTATTATTATTGTATCCATTTCATGAGGGAATTAGATGGATATCTAAAATTGTGTATTTTGAAGTATGGAGAAAGGCAGGTAATGAGAATAGATCGCTCTTTCAAAGAGCCACTACAAACTCAATAGGCCGAATGGCTTTTTCTGTACTGTAATATATTATAAAGATGGAACTTGTTCCCCAAAACACTGTTTTCAATGGAAAGTATGAAGCTAGCAAGTATGGACCATCTCATCCAATTTCTTTGCATGTGGAACTAGTTTCTCGTCAGTACCCCTGTGATACAATAACTCCAGTTAAAAAGCCTTTAGTATGCTTTTAAAATTTAATAGGAATCAGACATGACAGTGGACACAACAAAACTGAAACAAACAAGATCATTCAACATCAGAATTAAGAAATATCTGAGTAATAATTAAAATCATAGCTCAATTAAGTATGACACTGTAGCAACCAAAGAAAAACAAATGTCTGTACAAAAATGCAAGTGTGCACAAACTGTAAAATTAACACATTCCGATTCTAAACACGACTCGACAAGACGTGCAACAAGTTCGCAATTACACTTCGCATGAGAAATGTTTTAGTCGAAAATACTGTAATTAAAACCTTTTCAGTACATTTCTTACAACAAATAAAAAGGAAACGATTCGGGCATCTGGATCTAGAATTTTATTGTCGGTACACAGTTGCACTTCCTTCACTCCTGCCGCCTGCGGGACTAAACCGCCCAACTGACTCGTTCAGTGAACGCATTTAACATTTCCTTTTTTTAAAAAAATTCAATAAACGAGTAAAAAACGACCTTCGTAACAAATTCATTCAGGGGAAAAGTACTATATTCATTTATACCCCAATAACGATGTTGGAAAAAGGTGCAAATTACACAAGTATTTTTACATACCTGGTCGAAAAGCATAAGCTCAACAATATACAACATGATCAGTTTAGTTTTGCTCAACGTACGAATAAAATTACAAAGAACGAGACGAAATGTGCCAAATGAACATGGCGCCCACTGAACACATGTCCCACTCCACTCACCAAGCGAATGAAACCAAACCCGCGGTCCCGGTTGATAAAAATCTCGGACGGATCCCCGTACTTCTCGAACAGCTTCTTGAAATCCTGTTCCGTGATGTCGGTCGGCAAGTTGCCGACAAAAAGCCTGCACCGCTGCGTGTAGGCCTTCTCTCCTGGCCTACGGAAATTCTTGATGTCTACAGTGAGCGCTTCACCTTCTTCTCCAGTCATGGCTCCTTCCAGATCCGCCGTCGCATAGTCTCTTTTGTGCGGAGAATTCTGGCTGTTCTCTATCTTCACTTGCTTTAAATTTCGGTTCATTTGATTCGACTGCATTTCCGACAGTGATTCTGCGGTTATGCAGAGACGTTTCTATAAAATTTCGCACCAGGAGGAGTGAGAGGAGGAGGGGGGGGAGGGGGGGGAAAGAAGAAAAAACTTAAGACTGAAACCACGCCACTCGACCTACTGGCATTGAAACAGAGGATCAAAATGGCGCCCGCAGCACAGACTCCGAGCGGCCGAAATCAAAGGACGTCGACATGACTTCACACGTCCCTTCCCGCCAAGCGCTGCATTGTGGGAGATGTAGTTCTCACCGGTGTCGGTCTCTGACCCTCGAGAGTGAAAACCTATTGTGTCGCGAACTACAGCCCCCGTCAACCCAACCCCTCCCACCCTCACCCCCCCCCACCGCGTCGGTATTTTGCGAATCCCGGTCACACGTTACGAGATTGGTAACTTCTTTAAAATATACTTTCTCCATCCAAATTCATGCAGCCCAGGGTACAAAATAAATAAATAAATATATAATTCTGCTTCCCCGCCCCCACCCTCTCTCTCTCCCTCCCTCCCTCCTTCCTGTCAATCAAACATCGCCCTCCCAGCCGAGGATCATCAGCAATGTGGGCTATCGTCTGCGAAGCAACCTAATATGATGAAAGAAGGGCGATGCCGTCACAAAGACGGACGAGGGACGCGGCCAGAGAGATGTCGCGACGCTGCCTTTAATATTCGAAATGCTCGGAGCCGACCAATCGCCTCGCGGCGGAGGCGGGACCTGGATTATCAAGTTAGAGTGACTTCAAGTCTAGCCCGGGACTGGAACGAGTGCTGTCCGTGTAGATCCCTGGGAAATCGGGTAAGATATGATGTGAACCATACCCGCTTTAAACCTGTTTTTTCGGATTCGTTATCCCTGCCCTTTGGGTTACCGACGTGCCCGGGAAAGTCTTGGGGTACCATTCGTGGGGATAATGGTTTAATTGAGTAAAGTTTCACTTGTCCCACCTCTTTTTCCCTTTTTAATCCCCCTCACGTATTGTTTCGGTCGCTCTCTAATGGCGGACGTGCGCCAGTACCGCAACGAAGGGGGCAAACCCGCTAGGGGGTGTTTGGGGGTGTTTGGTGGGGGTGGTGGGGGGCAGTCTTAGAAAAATGTGTTTCCTTTGGGAATTTTACACTTTAAGACCCAATCTATAGTTAGACCCCCCCCCCCCAAAAAAAAATAAAACTGGGGAAAAGAAAAAAAATATTTTTTATTATTGAGGTAGAAGAAGGGGTAATTTTTTTTTAAAAAAATTGGCTTCTGACTCTCCCATCGTTGAAATAAAACGCCCCCCCCCACCACCCTCTTCCCACCCACTCCCCCCCCCCCCCCCCCCCCCATAATAGTTAAATGCCACTGATTTTTTTCTTTACCTATTTGGGTTGAATAATATTTTGTTTATTATTTCTATTTATTACCTTATCCTTGATGATGGAACTGATTTTTAATTGCCTCCCCCCATTCCCCTCCTCCCCCCCCCTCCCCCCCCAGGCCCTCATACCCTTTTTTTAAAAAAACATGAGGGTTATTAATCCCGCATGGGGAGGGTTTTTTTTGTTAGGATGGTGGGTGCGAGAGGGCTCGCCTCAAGCGAGCTTGATGTGTGGGTTGGAGGCGAGGGAGGGAGGGAGGGAGGGGGTGGACCTCGCGGATATTGGTGCTAACCTGTTAGCTGAGAGGCGCCTCCTTCACCCCCCTTTCCTCCTCCTCCTCCTCCTCTCCCCCTCCTCCCCCCCCCCCCCCCACTAGCCCCCCCTCAACCAGCACACACACAAAAAAACAGTTACTTGGTTCCACTGGCTTTCTCGCCACAAGTCAAATAACGTGTGCGTAACGTGAACTCTTAATACCTATATCCATTTCCAACTGGAGAGAGAGAGGGGGAGAGGGGGGTAAAGGGTTTTTTTTTGTCAGGAAGAATCGGGGGTTGGGGATCGGGGTTCGCAATCGCAAGGAGTTCGGAAAGAAGTCCAGTCCATGTTTTGACGAAAGCCGACGTCGTTGTCGGGAGTCCCCTCCGTGTGTGTGTGTGTGTGAGTGTGTGGCACGTAATGTGCTGAGAGAGGTTCGGGACTCGGCGCCCTGTGTTTGATGGTCTTTGTTAAGCCGAGCGGAGAGGCCACTCCGTGTCGGACCCCTTTACTGGATTGGGGGGGGAGTGATGGTGGAGAGGGGGGAGTGATGGTGGTGGTTCTGAAAAAATAATAATTTTAATTTTTTTTTAATGTATTTAAAAAAAAAGGCCGAATAATCCGGGATAGGCTTCGTGGCTCCGGGAAACCGAGGCCCCGTTGTGTCCGCGCGGCGGCGGCGGCGATGGCGGTGTGTAACGCCTTCCAAGTAACGTTGGCGATAAGTCGGGGCGACGGGTTTTTAACCCGAGTCCCCGGGCCCTGACCCCGCGGTGCGGTGGTTGGTGCTGGTGGTCGGGTTTGGGACGCTCTCCGGACTTCGGCTGTTGGGAATGTTATGGCACTGGAAGGCACAGCGGGTGGTGCCGGTGTGAGCTGTCCCCGCGCGCGGCCTTCTTTATCCCGGGCGTGAATCTGTGGGCCGGGTCTCGGTGTGGATACACACACGGCACTGGACCAACGCAAGGCCTGACTGCCTGCCTGACGTCTTTATATATATATACATATATATATATGTGTGTGTGTGTGTTCATCCGGATCACTAGTAAGAATCACTCGATTGCAACATTTTCTCCCAACGGCAGCAGTTCTTTTTAATAGCGATCACCGGCGAATTTTAATCTTTAAACGCACGCGGGTGGAAGCTGAAGTGTGGATATAGTTCATCCCTCTCGCTGCTCCCTCCCTCCCTCCCTCCCTCCCTCCGTGTGTGTCGCCAGCCTGGTGTCTGGTTCACAGCCCAGCTCGAGGTGGGACATCCTGAGACACAGGCTTTGAGGTCGTGGGTTATCTATACTCGTATCTATACTGACTTACAAATATTGAGATGGGTTGAGCGGACACGTTGCTCACGTTTTTCGTCCCTGTGTGATGCAAAAAGTCTTTGGTATTGATTCAGTGGCCGCGATGAGATGCATTTCCAGTTTGCAGTGAATAGAAGAAATGACAGCCCGCCATGGGACTTCGGATGTTCCTGGGCTGCTTTCTTTTAGATTTTTTTAACTGGTTATGTGAACAGATGCAGTCCAATGGGCTCCACCAAATTGGGTTTGCTTAATACAGATACTATGCATTTTCTGTTGCGTGAGATTTGCCCTCTTCGGCACATCAAGACGCCATCCTGTGGAAACGCAAGTCGTTGTTAATTTCACTATCAGATAATAAACCACTGCTTATCCCACCCAGCAAGATTTATTTTTGGTCAGCCGGGTGTCTGACACGTGCGGAAACCCATCACTGTGCGTAAGGGTGTCCAAACCAAGCTGTGATTGCCACGCATCCCACCTACACGTGGAAATCCCAGAGAGAGATTCTGGGAATGGAATGCGCGCTCTCTCCCTGGAGGGATGCATCCTGCTTACCTAATTCCGGAAAGTATTAGGCGCATTTTGGCAAGAGCCAAAGCTTGGGGACCCTCAGAGACTGCGTTGGGGTACTGTTGGCGTCTAATCATTCTAGAAAGATGGTAATTAAATAATTGCTGATCAGGAGCAATTTAATTCAAACATTTGCATTCAACATAGGAGTTGGTTATTACCTGAGCTGTGATTTCCTTCTGACTTGAATTTATTTAGTTTTGAAATACTATTTAAATGATGCTCATGTAACTTTGGAACTCAGGATATTCAGCAATATTTGGTGATGCATAATGATAGAGGGTGATGCTTTCTTTCTCATTTATTTTCCTCCCATTTCTCTTTGTCTTTGCTGAACAAAATGGCAACCTTCAACTTCTTCCAGGAAGTTGTTCTAAGTGCCAATCTGGAAATGAGAGTTTACCCTCCAAAGCTTGAAAGGTACTCGGGTCAATTATTCTGTTCCTCCATTGCCTTCTTTGAAATCAGCAAACTCAGTGCAGATCTGAGACCTTCCTGAACTTTAAGGCTCAGTTCCACATGAAGTGATGCCTTGATCCATTTATATTTGACTCTGAAATGTAGGTAGATCTTCCCTTTTCTGGGCAAGATTTTGGCATTATTCTTTAATGATGTTAACATTTTAAATGATGTTAACATTAAGAATAATTTTGAATGATATTATCATTATGAATAATTATTCTTTCATAATAATATATGTAAGTATAATTTTTGTTGAGCCAGCACAATTGGTCATTGCTTTGGGGCATTTATTTACAGGAATTTTGAGATATTTCAACACATAAAATTGTTTAATTGTAGGTATTATCAGGTCTTCAGGGCTTGATATCCTGATTAATTAAATATCATGTGAATTCTGCCTACCTCAAAAACCAAGCTTGTTGACCTAGAAATGGTACATAAGTAAGTGTTGTTACTACCAAAACTTACAAAATGTCCACGAACTACTATCTTGAGGATCTGAGTCATTGACTCACTGTTGATGTAATTAAGCAGATCTTTTTGTTACAATGTATTATTAAAAAGATTTCTCCTGTTTTCAGACTACCATGTGTAATGCATCTTTCCTCAGGTAATCTTCCCATTTTCCTCTTAATTTTCTAATCACCTTAGCAGGCGTTGAACAATTATACACCAGTGCGATTTGCAATTAGAATTTTATATTCCCTTTGGGGATGCACCAAGTGTTAGTTTACTGGTTGTTGCCTTTTATGGACTATCAAATTACAATTAGGGGAAATATGGAAACAATACCAATTTCTCTTTTCAGGCACACCTGGAACATCACATAGAATATGTTTTCTAATAAATCATTGTTCAGTGGTTGAAAATAAAAGCTAATGATTCATTAAGTGCGATCCCACAAGTTAAACATATATTTCAGTGTTCTTTAATGATATTAAAACAGTAAAGATAATTATCCAAATATTGATGGCTTAATTTCACTCCATTTGTTAGGTTGTGAATACCTAGAAGCAATTGCATGATAGCAAGTTAATTAAGGGATTCAAGGGACATTTTATACAGTGATTGAGACTTCTGTGTTTTGTAACCCTCATTTGAATTTTCAAGATTATATTGATATCACTTTTTATGATAATAATCCTTGCATTTGATATAGTGGCTTATCATGTCTCTGAGACGTCTCAAAGCGCTTCACAAAATATACTGTGAAGTGAATTGACTGTATATTTTGTGGGCAAAATGATGTACCCTGTTTACAATTAAAACATTTTTTGGGGGGGTGGGTGGGGGGAGATTTGTGCACATACCATCTGTTAGTGACTTCTATATTCTTTGATGTATAATAGTATTCTCACCAGGTGATTAGCTATCCATAGTAATTTAATGAATCTGTGATTGGTTACTACAACAACAACAACAACAAGATTCCATTTATAAAGCGCCTTTCACGTCAGGAGGACGTCCCAAGGCGCTGCACAGTTGGGTCATGACCCGAGCAGGGGGGAAATGGTCAGGGTGAGGGGAGGGAAGGGAGGGAGCGAGGAGGGGAGAAATGGTCAGGGTGAGGGGAGGGAGGGAGCGAGGAGGGGGAAGAGAATCGAGAGGGGAGCTGAAGGCTCGGTCAAAGAGAAAGGTTTTGAGACTGGCCTTGAAGTAGGAGAGGGAGGAAGCGGCGAAGGCACTGGGGGATGGAGTTCCAGAGCCTCGGGGCTGAGAGGCTGAAAGCCCGACCACCGATGGTAGGGCGATTGGGGCGGGGGACGTGGAGCAGACCGGAGCCGGAGGAGCGGAGAGTACGGGCAGGTAAGTAGGGGGATAGTAGGTTGGAGAGGTAGGAGGG